TAGATCTGGTTTTTAGAAGCTGGTTCCTCCGTTGATACGACCATAGATCTGGTTTTTAGAAGCTGGTTCCTCCGTTGATACGACCATAGATCTGGTTTTTAGAAGCTGGTTCCTCCGTTGATACGACCGTAGAGCTGGTTTTTAGAATCTGGTTCCTCCGTTGATATGACCATAGATCTGGGTTCCAGCCAGCGATCCATGTTGGGAATATTTTAAAGGTTAACGTATAACTACTGATCATGTAGTTAATTTGGTTTCCTGGTTGTTTGGGCTTATGGTCAGTCCATGTCTTTGGCTGTGACTTCCTCAACAGATATGGTGCAGCGCTGCACAGCTACAGGGCTCCACAGCGCCATCTATCAGAGTGGCGGTGCAGAGGCAGCCCATTTTCCCCTTATTGTTTTAGGTAAAATGTTTAGTTTTTTTTTAATCGATACTAGGAGCTGAAAGATCGATATTATATCGGTAAGCTGAAAATCACAAATATTCCCCACAACCCTACCTAAGAAGAAAAGACGAGCATGGACCAGTGAGTAGCGGAGATGCTCTTCTTCGTCTAAATCCAAAAGTGTCCGCATTGTTAGCTACACATGATGTTTTTAAGATGGAATATCACTATTATAGAAACCCTGCTATTCCTGTTATTATTATTCCAGCAATCAGGCCCTGATTGGCGCAATGAATTCCCACGGTTCCTGAATGCAGCAGCTGGGAATACTTTGTCCTAAACTGTCCATAAATAACCGTCCCCTTCACACCATCTATCCCCTGAGGGATCAGCAGTTTGACACACGGGGAGAAAATCAACTTGAATTATTTTCAAGTTTCAAATGTTTTCAAAAGTTTCATTATTTAATAAGTTTCAAATGAAATAATTTTTGCGACCTGTATCTGATCTTTCATGACGGCCTGATGAACACAGATCCGATGTTTTCCAATGTGATCCAGGCCACTCGGCTCTGTGGTCCTCAATCTGTTACGATCTTTTCTAATGCGACCTGTGTCTGAACAGCCAGGTCGCATTCATCCGACCTGAACGCCATTAATAATCAACAAACGTCGCTATTCTGGGTATTGCTACGCAGAAGCAGGAAGAAAAACAACAATGATGCAGAGAGCTGTATATTTTTTGAATCCTCTTGAAATAATTGTTTTTAAGGTTGGAAAAGATGCGCTCCAGCGCTACCATCCATGTTTACTTCTGTAAACACAGAGCACGCTGGCTTGTGATGTCATTGCGTCCTCTACTGCGCATGCGGGACACTTAGGTTGTATGAAGGCAGGTCATACAGGAGATCACATACAAGTCGCAGATATTAGGAAATATGAACGGCAGCGCAGAAAAAATCAGAATTGAGCCTTTAGGCCTGCAGGGTGAACGTTAGCGGCGCTAACTGAACGTTAGCGGCGCTAACTGAACGTTAGCGGCGCTAACTGAACATTAGCGGCGCTAACTGAGCTCCATATTTGTTGTTTTCAGGAGGCGAGTTCTGGTTCGGCCGTTTCCAGGTCTGATTGTTGGTTCCATAATTAAAATGCTTTCTGAACGGGTCACCCTGAGCCAGATGTTGAGATGTTTGCCAGATGTTGCAGATTTCACCGCAGGGTTCTGCTTCTGCTTAGGGCTGCTACTAACCATTAACCATTACTAACCATACTGGTTTCATTCCTGCTCCAAGTGAGTCGCTCTGCAGCTAAAGACACGTTTTAGAGTCTCTATGCTTCTGTTAATGATTAATCGATTCCTGAATGACGATTATTTCAGGTGTTCTGTCAGATGAGCATACCTGATCAGACCAGCAGACCCTGTTTATCCCTTTAGTTTAGTAAGAAAATAGACTTTAAAGCACCTCAGAGGGCGCGTATCCCTTTAGTCATGTATAAAAAACAGATTAATTGCTTTCTATATTACAGTTTGGCGATCTGACCTTAAATAGTTTTGTTTGCACATGGCTAAAGGGAAACACGCCCGCTGAGAACAAAACCAAAGGGATAAACGGGTAATAATGACCACGGCTGTGCTGATCTGACAGAACAGCGGCTGATCGACTTGAGCCCAAAATGTTTGGTTCTTCTGAACCGGCTGCAGAACTGAACCCAGCCTGAAGTATCGTTCGCTTTGGGTTCGCTCCATTAACCTGGGTCTGTCCGCAGGCGGGCCGATCCACGTCAGCTTCCCGTCTGGACTCACTCTGGCCGAGGTTCAGAGGAAAAACCCCCTGGTGGTACGAGGGGGGCGCTACAGGCCGCCGGAATGCGAGGCCCGACACAAGACGGCCATCATCATCCCCCACCGCAACCGAGAGCATCACCTGAAGTTCCTGCTCTACTACCTGCATCCGTTCCTGCAGCGCCAGCAGCTCAGCTACGGGATCTACGTCATCCACCAGGTGAGTCCCGCTCTCTGCTGGACAGCTGGACCCGAACCTTTCACCATTCTACTGGTTTTACTGGTTTTACTGGTTCTTCGACCTGCTGATGGTTTGATGCCAGTCAGACTGATCATTTGTTTCCAGTATGCAGATTTGGCTCCAAACTTAGAACAGAAATATTTCCCAGCAGCCTCTTGGTTTCCCTCTGATAAACAGGGAGCACCTCCCAGCAACACGTGGGGGAGGGGAGCCGTTGCTTAGCAGCCGAATAATGGATCTAAATCTCCAGGATTTCTATCTAATCAGTGAAAGAATAATTTATTCTTTTGTTGTTTTGGTGTAAAGGCGGGAAACTACACCTTTAACCGCGCCAAGCTGATGAACGTCGGTTTCCGGGAGGCGATGAGGGAGGAGGACTGGGACTGCCTGTTCTTCCACGACGTCGACCTCATCCCAGAGGACGACCGCAACCTCTACGTCTGCGACGCCAACCCCAAGCACGCCGCCATCGCCATGGACAAGTTTGGCTACAAGTACGTCCCTGAGAACGCCGGTCAAAATGTCGGCCGCCGCTTCTGAGTAAGACTCACCGCTCGGCTTCTACCTGTTCTCTCCAGGCTTCCGTACAAGATGTACTTCGGAGGAGTGTCCGCTCTGTCGCCGCTGCACTACCTGAAGATGAACGGCTTCCCCAACAACTACTGGGGCTGGGGTGGCGAGGACGATGACATCGGAGTCAGGTGAGGGCGGTTCTGAGGTTCTAACGGACCGTCCTGTTCAGGTCCTAGAGATAAATGGTTGTGTTTCTGTCCGCTCAGAGTGTCTCTGGCCGGGATGTACATCAGCCGTCCGTCTCTGAAGGTTGGCCGCTACAAGATGATCAAACACAAGCTGGACAAAGGCAACGACATCAACCCAAAGAGGTAGAGTTCATCCGTTACTGGATGACCTAACTTCTGTTCCCTTTATGTCCCTTTCCTTGTACGTGTGAAATGTCCCATGCTCCTGAATGCACCGTAGCTATCTGACGCTCGTGAATGCATCACACTGGTCTGTGAACGCTGTGCTCTGTAGATGCGTGTTTGATTTTCCGCTTCAGACGAAGCTTTGCAGTTTGAAAACTATCACTGTTTATTGTTGTTTTTGAAAACATGAGACTAGAACAGATAAATCAGCCGAACCTCAGACACAATCTTTGGATTAAACGTTGTTCATAACAGCCGGATGTTTAAATTAATCTGCAAAATAACCACAGTTGTTTTTCCCACTAGAGGAATATTTAAACGTTTTTATATCATTAATATAACAACAAGTAGCTCCATTGGTCATATTTTAATCCGTTTTCCTCGTCGATAGTCGCAGTTGTTCAGAGCGAGGTGTGCTCCCGCCACTGGGGATGCATATCTCTGCAACGATAACACCAGACCGCGGTCCACTAATCCGTGACCTCTGCAATAAACCGAAGCAAAGAGTAACGAGTAACGATTGTTTTAAAAATGTGAGGAATAGAAAGGACAGGTACTGTGTGAAAATGTAAAGAGTAGAAGTCAGAAGTAGGAAGAAAAATAAGTAATGGAGTAAAGTATAGATCCTAAAAAGTGTATTTCTCTACTTGACACCTCTGTCCGCCACAACAATCCCGCCCCCTTGATAACCGACCAATCACATTCACTTTATTCACTGGTGTAAGTCGGGCACCACTGGGAGAATTCAGAAATGCAGCGGTTAGAACAGCCGCTTCGCTACGACTTTAACTGGATCATTCCTGCAGCTAAAGGTTGTTCTGTGATTCTGGGTTCAAACCAAAGATGTTCTGAGCATCAAAAACGCTTCAATGCAGAAATCTGGACTCTGCATCAAACTGTGGTCCAGTTGCTCTGCTGCTCGGCGCTAACCCTTCCAGCTAGAGAGCCGCTTGGCTTTATTTACTTTCAGTTGGAAAAATAGTTTTAAGAAGTGAGAAAGTCCACCTCCAAACCTCCTCTGTTCATCAGGATTATAATCCCACTATAATCTGCAGTCCAGACCTCCAGCATCCCGCCGCTGTTCTGTCAGACCAGCATACCTATAGTCAGTACCAATGCACAAGATGTCAGGTTTGCGTTTATCTTTAGTTTTGTTCTAAAAATAAACTTTAAACTACCTCAGCGGGCGTGTTTCCCTTTAGTCATGTACAAAAATCTTTTAAGTTACTTACTTTTTGGTGTTTTTTAAAGCATATGGCGATCTGACCTTAGATAGTTTTTTGTACCTGACTAAAGGGAAACGCGCTCACTGAGGTGGTTTAAAGTTTATTTTTAGAACAAAACTAAAGGAATAAACTGTTATTAACTATGCAGGGTTTCTGCTGGTCATTGAAAATCATTAAGAAATTCAATTATTTTTTAAATTAAGGCTTTAATTGCCATTAAAATTCTTTTAAATGTGATTATTGTGGCATTTAAAATGCTTTATAAAAAAAAAAAAAATGTTTATAAAAACAATCTAGTTAGATATATGCTATTGTGATATATTTCTGCAGATCTTCCGGTTGATCATAAATTTTTATGTTCAGAAAAAACGTGAACGCAGCATTAGAGTCTGCATCATAGTTTAGCTTGACTTCATCAAATGGCGGCGATCAGAACCAGAACCTGCTGCTTTAGATCCATTCAGGAGAATCTCTTCTTCTGTCCTCAGATTCAACATGTTGGCAAAAACCCGTCAGACCTGGAAGATGGACGGCATGAACACGGTGGAGTACGAGATCGTCTCCAGGGACTACCTGCCCCTCTACACCAACATCACCGTCAACATCGGGACAGAGTCCGGCCTGCGCTCGCCTGCGCAGCCGCGCAAGCCTGCAGGGAAGCCTGCAGGGAAGCCTGCAGAGAAGCCTGCAGAGAAGCCTGCAGAGAAGCCTGCAGAGAAGCCTGCAGGAAACTCCTCAACCAAACTCCAGAACAAACCAGCAGCTGTGAAATAATCCTGTGATCTGTGTAGATGGGCGATCAGCTGCTTCAGGCTGAGGACGATTGGTTTCAGCTAAAATGAAGCGATGGCTCCCCCTTGTGGCTCCTTTAATCCTTCATATCTTATGGACGTTCCACAGGAGCTACAGGAGGAGCTGAGTTGGACTCTGTGAGTTTGTGTGTAAGGCGCTGTAGCCGCTGTATAAACCATGAGGCCTTAGAATCGTGTATTTCTCTATCTTAGATCTTATTGTTTGTAGAACGAGTTTAAAGGAGGAGTTCCTGACCGACTGTTTCTGCTCCTCAAGCAAACGTCTCCACAGTCGGCATTTTTTCTCCTTCAAGGCGTCAGAGGCGCCGTTTCACCTGCTGCTGGTCCTCCCTGCAGCCTCCGGTTTCCTGGCTGACCAGCAGGATGAGCTGCTGACACATGTTGGCTGATTTCAGATGAAATAGACGCCCAATATTCCTCCTCCATCTTTTTTCTTTCATCCATCTTTGACTCCGACAGCTGATTGTGTGAAAAAGTGTTTTTAAACCTGTGAGTTTGGCAGAAAAAACCAAAGAATCTGCTCCAGATCAGGAGCTCTTCTAACTGTGGTGACGGACTTTCCTTCTCCCCATGGAGGAGGCGGAGCTCCAGGATCCTGCAGACGCCTGCTCGTCACTCATCAGGTCATGGGCCTTATCTGATGGTCAGCGTCTTATTGAGCATATCTGGATCAGATGGACTGAGACGTTAAAGCGAAGAGCGAGGATGTGACTGAATAAAGCGAGCCCTCCCAGGGTTCTGCTGCTGCTTGTTTCTGTTCTTTCTGACTTCTGCACACTCCACAGTGGCCTTATACTCCTGAATAAACTGATTCAGCGTAACCCTGCTCTGCTGGCCTTTTTATTGATTCATCTTCTCTGCATTCGTTAGCTTAGACCAGACGTACTCTACCATTTATTGCCCTTTTCAGCCTGATGGTGCGTGGTGTAGTGACCAGGGGGTAACGAGGGGCAATGAGTGAAATGGAGTTCTTTCTGTCAAACTGTCAGACCGTAGTAGCCTCGTTAGCTCAGCCATGTGTTTGTCCAAATACGTCGTCTCCTTTTCTTTTTAGGGCTTTCAGCACTAAATCGCCCAAATATCCAAGGCAGCGCGTTTCACTCTAGTGAGCTTCATGTTCCTCTGCTACTCGTTTGGCTTCCAGATAGACGAGTCCCAGTAGCGCCACCTCGGTCGTCTGCGTGTTTTTGCCGCAGTTAACACAGATATGCCCCCCTTCGCAGACACTGTGATGCACCTCTCCAAAATTGTAGGTTACCGCAGACAGCAGGCCTCTGATTGGTCAGATCTACATCCGCTCTACATTACTTGTGGAAAACGACTGAAGATGGAGCAGCTAGCAGAGCGAGGTGCACGAGAACGCCGGGAACCTTTTTCCAACTGGATCTCCGCTCTTTTTGGCCCTCATGTCCCTCTGTTGTCGCACAAAGTTGCCCCCACTTCCTCACCACCTCGGCCGTATCTAGACCCACAGCTAGTTCCTGATTGGCGTTGTGGCGTGGAATAACAGCGCAGACCACGCTTCAATATTGGGTATAAATCAAAAATATCTGTGACAATTGTAACACTAGTTTAGTTATTAAAGACTAAAAAGCAGAATATCAGAAGTCTTAAGTTCATCTGCAGGAGCTGTTGTCAGTAATTAATAAAAACCAAAACAAAGGAATAATTGATTTCATTACCATTTAATTTTTGTAGATGGAAAAAAAAGTTAAACAAACACTACAAATCATAAACCATACATAGAACCCAAAAAATATACAAATATAATAAATATATACAGGACTGCAGTATGTCTAATGAATGTACACAAAAAGTCCTACATTTCCCAACAGGTCGGCACAACGTCTGACTGACACACATTTAAGTCCATAGATGGATTATCCAGTTATTTGAGATGAGAATGTCCAAGCGCAAATTGTGTCCAACGGAGAAGAGATGAATTATGAACAGTTTATCAATATGATGAGATGGAAAGGGAAACGCTACAGACCATCAGCCTCCTACCAGTCAGTCAATCTGAGCTGGGGTTCAAACAGGCGGTTTGGATCCACTTTCCCCAAGAGATCGTTTGAGCTCTCCACTGAGGAAGGGATTCATCTCCACAACGACACGTTCAAGTACCGCAGGAAATCTGAGTGGCAGTCAGTTTCTCCGTTCTCCAACTATCAACCACATTCTGGGTAAACCTGTTCCTCCCTCCATCGAATCAGACAAACACTGGAACCACGGCACATAGACTGGAGTCAAGGAAACAACAACTTCTCTGGAAACGTGAGTCGGCAACCAAAACCTCTTCTCCAAGTTTCACGAGTCGAATTCCCCACTGAGCCTGAACTAGCCGCTGTGTCTTCCCCTCACCTTGCAGTTCCGGTTGAGCAGCGTTCAGAGCAACACTTCTCCTCTTGCTGATGAAGATTCTCAGTCATCCAGGTCATAGTCATTCCGTAGAAATTCAAAAAATATCCACTGGACTTGGTTTTCAAGATTTGAAGACGTTTCGCCACCTCTCCAGGAAGCTTTCTCAATTCAAATGTGAATTGCACATTTGAATTGAGAAAGCTTCCTGGAGAGGTGGCGAAACGTCTTCAAATCTTGAAAACCAAGTCCAGTGGATATTTTTTGAATTTCTACAGAACTTCTCTTGTTTTACTTTTTCAATAAAACCTGTTAAACCTTTCCCCTGGTCTCTCTGTTCGGTTTTCTGCATTTTTGGGTCAGAACTTTGCAACATCATGACATCCTAATATGGTGACTTTTTAAAATATATTTTGGAAACATGAATAAAGAGAGTTAAATCACAAGCTCATGAGGGAGGTGAATATGAGCAAGTTTATTATAACAATTCCAAAACTCACAAAATTAGAGTATTTTATTGAGTGAGTTTGAGTGTGAGAATGAATGTGTTTTTATTATCATCATTATACTATGTTATTATTGTTGTTGCTATTATTAATATTGAATTGTTACTTTTTTTGGAGGGGGTCCCTGCTGGGCTGGACCGGGCTGTCGGCTCGGGGGGCAGGGAGCCAGCAGGCGGGGGGAAGCACGGGGCCGCTGATGACCAGGCTACCATCACCACAGAGGTGTAACCTTGTGATGAAAGTTGGTGGGGACACTTGGGTGGAGGCTCATGGACCCACAGTTACGCTTTCAGCAGGTTCATTTTCCAAAAATGAACTCAAACATCTATTTATTGAATGCTTTTCTATTTTTGAGAACACTAGACCACGACACACTGATATTTCTAGATGTTAGAGAGATGCCTTTTAGTGCATTACAAATATAGGGCCAAAAAATATCAATGCATGAAAAAAATTATTAATAAGAGTCGATTCCGATGCCAAAAATGATGTATCACGCATCCAATTTCAATTCAATACAGAAAAAAATATATGCTGCATTTTAAATAAAGCATAGCATATTTTTTTTCTTGTGAACTTTCTGGTAAACTTGGATATATTTTATTGCATTTCAATCTGAAAAACTCACAAAGATAAAAGACAATTAGGAGAAATTTATTGATACGATTACTTTGTGTTTGGCGCTCAGACCTCTGCAGGAAACATAGCACTGAATTCTGATAGATCTGCATGAACAGAGTAAAGAACAGGGCTGCGCTGATTCTATCTGATCAATAAGACAACATGTGTTCGTTTTAACCTGTAACTGTGATTCATGGTCCTGAGAAACCAAGATTTTTTTAACTAGTAAAGAAGAGCTTGAGATGACTTGTGTTGTGAATTGGTGCTATATAAATAAACTGCATTGAATTGAATTGAGTCACTGCGCTGAGAGCAGCGGATCTGAAGGATCTGCACCAGATATTGAAGAATGACGGTGGTTTCTAAGCAGTTATTACAAAGTACATCATTCGCTCACTCCTAGGCAAAAGTTCAATATTCTGAACTCAAGCATCGAATGCTCGGATGCTCGGACATTCAGACGCCAGAATGCTCTGATATGACCTCTGGATGCCGTCCGCCATAGACTTTGCATTTAAATCAGACGCTTTGAAGCCCAGAACATGTTTGCTGTGAACGCACCACAGTAGCTGAAGTGAGTTCATAAGTGCTCGTCTGATAACCTAAATATAGAAGTATATTGATCAGACATTGGGCCGGGGGGGAATGGACAGCAGTGCATTTGAGGTAGTGACCCCCAAAGGTTGAGAACCACTGCTCTAATGGCCTATTGCTTCAGGTCTAGGCGCAGTACCCAGCTCCACCAATAGGAGGCAGCAACAGGACACAGGAGGTAATGATTCGCAGTAATGAATATGAAATGAGAATAAAAAGGAACAAATAAGGTTTCAGTTGATGCTACAGAACTTTTACGGGTTAAATAGAAACAAAGTCTATCAGCATAGAAGTTGGTTAAACAACCAGCCTAGATGTATCCTTGGTAGAGTTTCCATCTCTTCCTTCCTGATGATCTGAAAACTCTAAAGTTCAGCTTGAGCAGAGAATCAAATGGCTGATTTACATCATCTAAATCATTTTGATCTACTTAGTTCTACTAGTGCTTTATTTGGGCTGTTTGCACGATAACAGGAAGACCACTAGATGTCAGCAGAGAGTCACATTCCTGCCAGACAAAATATTCTGCTCTATAAACTTTGTTAGAAATGTTATTTTCTTCATGTTTTAGTTAAAATGAAAAACTATTGTTAGTTACTAACTATTTTTAAGTTACTACTTACTAACTAAAGTAAACATCAGGAACAAAGAAATAATTAGTTTGATTTAAATTTTATTATTAAAACAAATAGAGCAAATAAACAGAACTTAGCATATGCTTCGAATAAAGACATGAATAAAAATAAAACCATATTTACGTATTTATAAATTTTAAATTAAACGCTGTAAATCTGCCTTGGATGCGGAATTATTGTATTTTTTGTTATACTGGATCCTGATAAGCTTTATAGCTTTATTCTTCTGTATCTCGTCCTCTTCATCCTTTCTTCAGTGTGGTTCATGATGGTTTCATATCTTAAGTGTGCGGATGTTTAAAAGCTAATACTAAATAAAATTCTATGGATCACTTTTCTTCTTTAAAAATATTAAATATTAATTTGTTTGTTGCTGCATGAGTTTATTGTTCTGTCTTTCCCAGCGTCACATTTCTGTTTTATTGGTTTGTAAGTTTAGAACTAAGTCATCTATGTCCAACTTTTAGTCTTTTCCTTAATCTGTCCTCCTTTCTGCTCCTTCCTCCTGGTTTAACCTCCTTCGCTCTTTTTCATCCAATAAACCTTCTTCCTGTCATTTTTCTTCAGTTTCTGATCAATCATTCTCTCTGATTGCTCCACGTGGCTTTATTTTCCTTTGAAAGCCATCCATTCATCTGGCAGGTTTGCTGACACCTACTGGTGATTGTTCGTTACTACTCCATTTTTTTTATTTTATGGCAGATAAAGTTTTAACAGAAACATTTTGGATTTTTATAAACTTTATGTCCTTTTCAAAATATGTTTGATTTCCTTGTTGATGGCTTTATTGAAAATGATCAAACTAATTGATCAATCTAATTAATGTTTAATGTTAACATAAAACATGATATCAGTCTATATCCTGTTTGGTTTTTAGTGTCAGTATTTATCTGCAGTAAAGCCAACTTTAAACCCNCAGCAAACGGACTCTGCTGATAAACTCTTCTCCAGAACCAACAGTGACTCTCCCAAAGAGAACCTCAAGAACCCTCAAGGTACAATCAGTGCATCGTTGGAAATCAAACCCTGTCAACAGTCAATAACTGTGCTGTCCCTCACGCAGACTCCGGTGAAACCAGAATCCAGGCCCGAACCAGAATCAGTACATTCTGTGTGTTGTGCTTAATA